AGGCCAGGGTACGTGGAGCCTGAGCTCATAGGTTCTAAAGCAGTCTAAGCCAGGAGACCTCGTCTCTAATGAAGAACTTTATTTGGGGGCGGTCCCTGTGGCTCAAAGGAGTAGGACACCAGCCCCATATGCCGGAGGTGGCGGGTTCAAGCCTAGTCCTGGCCCAAAACTGCAAATAATAATAAAATAAAAAGAACTTTATTTGGTTGCTACTTGATTGTTAAAAACAGGATGTGTTTTCAAGTGAAAGCTCTCAAGAATGGGGTGGGGGTAAAGGAGAATGATGGAAGCAGGAGGAGCAGGAAAGTCTTCAGTTGGGCTCAGGATGCTTGAAGTACAGGTGGAGACATAGGTCTCTATAGCCCTATGAAATTGTGTATGTGTTAGTTTACCTTGATTCTTTGCTTTATGGGAGCATTATGGATGGGTTATAATTGGTTATCTTATATAATACTCTCCCTTACCATCAGGGGAAATATTTTAAGACCTCCAGGGGATGTCTGAACCACAGATAGCATCAAGCCCTGCATATGCTATGTTTTTCCCTAAATACACATGATAGTTTGTTAGGCACAGCACTCTTGTGTTTCTGGGTCATTAGTTAAGTAAAATAAGGATTCCTTGAGCACTAACAGTTAATGTGATAATCTTGATGGCTATTAATAAACAGGCAAAGGTATGGTACGATTCATAAATTCACATCCAGAGTGGGACAGAGCAGGATGGTGAGATTTCATCATGGTACGTAGAACAGTGTATAAATTACCCTGGGTAGAGTGCCGTGGTGTCATAGCTCACAGCAATCTCAAACTCCTGGGTTCAAGCCACCCTCCTGCTTCAGCCTCCTGTGTGGCTGGGACTATAGGCCCCCACCACCATGCCTGGCTAATTTTTCTATTTTTGCTAGAGATGGGTGTCTTGCTGTTACTCAGGCTGGTCTCAAACTCCTGAGCTCAGGCAATCCTCCTGTCTCAGCCTCCCAGAGTGCTAGGATTACAGGGGTGAGCCACTGCGCCCAGCCTTTGAGCAGAAATGTCAGCGTTGGAAGGGAACTTTAACTTAGTCTTCATCTAGTCAGGAATTCCCTTGTGAAACCTCTTAGCCTAACACTGAGGATAAACACTGGACAGTATCTTATACAGAGTTTATTATGTCCTCTTTCCCACTCACCTGCTTTGTTTAGTTTGCTTTTGTTCTGGAGTCACTGACAAAGTCCAGTTTCTCAAAACACCTCAGGTTGGGCCCAGGAACGTTCCTTCTGGGGGCTTGTTCATTAATCCCTGTCCAATGTTGCTTTTTTTGGTTTAGGGTGGGCATCCTTGTCCCAGTCGTCATTCTAAGTTTAAAAAAACTCAGCATTTTATTCCCTGCGTATTAGATAAACAGTCTTTTTTTTTTTTTTT